CCCCCCCCCCCTTTTTGGGGGGGTTTTTTCGACAAAGGAAATTACTTCCGTTTTTTTTTCAACGTAAACTTAATGTTAAATTACGTCATAATATCAAAATTTAACGATGCATCACAATAAACTTTCAGAAGGAAGAGAAAGAGAGAAAGAGAGAGAGAGAGAGAGAGAGAGAGAAAAGTTTTAATAAAAATTCAAGCTGGAAAAAAAATAAAATAATAATAATAATATTTTTTAAAACGGATCTACGGTGTCCCGCCTCAAGGAGAGATGAGAGAAAGCGTTTAATAAAAAAAAAAAAAAAAAAAAAAAAATTATCATTATCGCGTGGTAAAAAAAAAAAAGAGAGAGAGGGAGAGAGAGAAAGAGAAAAAGAGTCCATGTTTTCATATTTAACCTTCAGTAAAACAAAAAAAAAAAAAATTTTCCGCCATAATTTTTTTTTTTTTAAAACAATTTCTTTCCTCTTATTCCACCTACTCCTAAATAATAATTAACTTATACCATAAATTTATTTAAATCATCATCATTATCATCATCATCATTATCATTTTTTGTTCATAAAAGATTTAAATTTTTTCAATCGATCAATGTGAAAACGATTTAAAACCGCGACGATTATTGTAAGTTTTCAATTTATTTATTTATTTATTTGCATTTTCGATTAGAATTCGAAAAAATTAAATAAATAAATAAAATTTATTATTATTATTATTTTACCGAGTTATTAGTTAAATGAATACGTTAAACGAACATTATTATTATTTATTATTTTCTTCTGCTGTTAATAATTTAAAAAACAATTAGTTAAATTTTTAAATAGTAATTAGTGTCGCGTCGTACGAAAGAAAAAGAAAAAAATTATTATTATTATTATTATTATTAAATTTTCAAATTTAATTTCCCGCGTTTATTTTCCCGCCAAAACGAAAAAAAAACCTTTAATGAAACATTTTTCATTTTGTCCGTTTTTTTTTTTTTTTTTTTTTAAACTTTCTGAACGCGCTCAACTAATTACAACTAAATTAAATTATGATTTTTGTTGACGTCATAAATTTTAGTTTTTTTTTTTTTTTTTTTTGTTTAAACAATTTGTTATTTATTTATTTATTATTTATTAATAAATAAGATACTAATCAGATACGTCATTTTTGAGCTAAAATCATTTGATCAATTTCTTCGGAGTGAGAGAGAAATAAAAAGAGAAAAAGAAAGAGAAAGAGAGAGAGAGAGAGAGAGAAGAGGAGGAATTAGACCCGGCACATGAGTGTCAGGTGAAAATATAAAACTTACATAAGTTAAACGTAGGATTCGCCGATTGTTCTAGAAAACGAGTAACAGAAAACGAAATTGCATTTAATGTATGTGTGTGTGTATAAGGATGTAAAAACTTTTCTTGGTCATTCGATCACTAGATTGTAGTAGATCGATTCGATATTAACGAAAAAAAAAAAAAAAAAAAAAAAAAAAAAAAAACAAAAAAAAACTTAAAAAACATAAAACGTTATAAAACAAAAACAAAAAAATTTTTTTTTTTTTTTTTTTTTTTTAACTGAACGCACGGGGGAAATTTTTTTTTTTCACGTTTTTTTTAAAAAATTTAATAATTTAGTGTTGTTATCGTGATAAAAGAAAAAAGTCGGAAAATGTTTTCATCGTAGCAGAAGAAAAAAAAAAAAAAAACGAAAAGTTATCATTCGTTTATCATCATTATTTTTTTTTTTTTACAATAACTAAAAGTTTTTTTTTTAGTTTTGTTTTGTTTGTTGTTGTTGTTATTATTAATTCATCGATTATTTTTAAATACGTTCGGTTAATTAATGTATCGAACGCATAAGTGAACGGATTTTTTAATTTTTGTGTGCGAACGTGGTAGAAAAAAAAAAAAAAAAGAAAAGTTATTTGTTTACGTAAAATGTAAAAAAGTTTTTCAAAAAAAAAATTCGCCGAGAATAATAATAATAATAATTTTAACAAAAACGTTATCGCGCGTGAAATTTTTCACCAAAATAAAAATATATATAATTTTTAAAAGTTAGCAAACAAACAAACAAACAAACGACAAACGAAATTAATAATTTGGATGTGATCAAAATACGAAGGAGAAAAGGTGAATTGAAAATTTCAAAGGTTTTTTTGTTTCCCCCCCTAAACGTATCCTACAAATTTCCCTTTTGTCGAAAAAAGGAAGAAAGGAGAGAGAGAGAGAGAGAGAGAGAGAGAGAGCTAGGGAAAATTGTCGACGTAATTATTTCGTTTAACGGTGACAACAATCGTTTTATCGACGAGTGATTGATTTAAATGCAGTGCACGAATCCGCGAATAATAATAAAAAAAACGAAACGTTGTGATAACACGCGACGCCTTATCATCATAACGCGTAACGTTTTTTTTTTTTTTTTTACGTAACCTCTCAACAAACAATTTAAAAATGTCGTTCGTTAATTAACTATTAATTTTTTATAACCCTATAACCAACTATAATCATTATCATTATCATTATCATTATCATTATCATTATTATTAATACGATCGTACACAGAGAGAGAGAGAGAGAAAAAAAAAAAACATTTCGTCACATTTATTTTTATGGTTTGTTTTTGTTGTTGTTGTCGTTATCGTTTTCCATTGACAAATTTTCCTTTGACAAAAATAAAATAACGTGCGAGCGGGCGTATTGATAATAATAATAATAATAAAATCAAAACCCATTACAATATTAATAATAATAATAATAAAATTAATTTTTCTTTCTTTTCTTTTTTCTTTTCAGACATCTTAGAACGATGGATAGATGGAAAAGCTATCCTTCGAGTATAGCTTGTTTGATTTATTTGTGTGCCTTCTCATTTATTGCGGTGAGTAGTATTATCATTATTATTATTACCATTATCATTATTAATCGTTAATAAATAAATAAATTTCCAAAAATTGACTTACCATTCGTTTCCCGTTCGACGTCATCCTTTTTCCTCCGACAGCAAATAAATCCTCCCTGTAATTAACAAAAAATTATAATTATTATCATTATTATTATTTGGTTTTTATATTGAATCGAATTAATTTTATTATTATTATTATTAAATCGTCATCGCGATGAAGAGTGTCAAATTTTTTGCTACGATTCACATGGTTGAAAAAAAAAAAAAAAAAAAAAAAAACAGTTAATTGGATAATTAAAAAAAGTAAAAACGACTACAACGAATGATGATGATGATAATAATAATAATAATAAATATAAAAGGGTAGTAATTTTTTTTTAACGTTCTCGGACGGATAATTATGTAGGTGAATTAATTTTCAAAATCGATAGACCTTAACACCCATACCCATAATAATAATAATAATAATAATAATTTATTAAAGTGAAATTATTTACTCCACCGTAAAAAATGTTTTTTTTTTTTTTTTTTTTTTTTTTTTTCCCCGGTTTTGAATTAGGGAAAGAAAGGGAAAACCAATCCCCGTTGGTTTTAATTCTTATTTTTAACGGGGAGGGGAGGGAAGGGGGAAGGGGGGGGGAACCCTTCGTTACCCCCAACACCAAAAAAAAATTCCCCCCCAAGGAAAAAAAAAAAAAAATTTTTTTCCAATTTCCAAACGGTTTTTTTTTTTTTTTTTTGTGGGGGTGGTAAAAAAAAATCCCCCGCCCAAAAAATTTACTTTTTTTTAAACAAAGGATTTAGGTTAATTTTTTTACAAAAGGGGGGCCCCAATTTTTTAAAACCCCCCCCCCCCCCCCCACCAATTTTTTAAAAACATCTAATTGATCGAACGAAAAAAAAAAAAAAACCCGGTTTTAATTATTATTATTTACACGCCGAAAAATTTAAAACGTTTTTACTTTTAAATTACCGATAAGTAAACAAATCAAAAATTATGGGAATGGGGGGGGGGGGGATGATAATGATAATGATAAATTCATTTGTTAAAAACGTTTTTTTTTTTTTTTTTTTTTTTTTTTTAAGGTACTTTAGGTTTCGCGTTCTTATCATTCATCGAAGAAGCGTTTTAAATACTAACATAAATTAATTTTTTAAAAAAATTTGATTTGATTTTTTTTATCAAAATTTTCACAACACTATTTAAAATTTATATTTAAAAAAAAAAAAAAAATGGAGGTGAACGGCTCTTGATTCTGGTATTTTTTTTTTTTTGCGCACGCGCACGCTATGAACAATTCCAGTTAATTCCAGTTTATCAAGAATTTCTTTTTTTTTAATATAAAAAATTGTTTTAATGAAAATTTTAAGCCGGGAGTAACGAATCAAGTTTTTTTTTTTTATCTTGGTTAAAGTTGAACTCCCGACGAAATAATAACATTTATAAAAAAATTAATTTCGAGTGACCAAAAAAAAAAAAAACAACGAAAGATTTTCAAAAGAGGGAGGGAGGGAGGGAGTGGGATGGTAGGGGGGTTGAAAAAAGTTCATTTCCTGAAAAGGCCTCCCCACAAAAATAAAATAAATGAAGCGAATGATTCCAGCAAGTGAGAATGAGTTCATGACTTTCCATTGAGAGTGTTACACTTCTCACGCCATTATCATTATTATTATTATTATTATTATTATTATTATTATTATTATCATCAATATTTTACCTTAACGTGTAAAATCCGAGCCTGCTTTTACCGCGAAAAATTTTTTTAAAAAATTTTTGCTAATAATAATAATAATGATAAAAAAATTTTTTTTTTTTTTTTCTTTTCCGATATTGAATTCTATTGTAATTATTTTTTGACACGACACCGTTTTAATTAATTACACGACATTTTTTTTTTTTTTTGTAAAATAGCAGTAGACACGAATTCTTATTTAAACAAATAAAAAAAAATTTTTTTTTTTTATTTGTTTAATGTAACGAAATCATGTTAGAGAGAGAGGGGAAAAAATGAAAATGCGATTGTTCCAACCTAGAAAAATAAACAATAAAAATTAAATAAATAATAATAATAATAATAATAATAATGATGATGATAATGATAATAGATTGAAAAGTATAAAATGAGTACGTGAATGGAATTTTTTTTCATTCGCAGGAAGTTTCATCTGATGCTCCATTAGATTCAGCAAATTTACCGCTTGAACATAGGGGAGCTTTCGTTGGTCCATCCGGACAATATGGTCCTCCGGGTCCGCAAAAAGATGATCCGTGGCCTCTTTCCGCACCCGACATGCCACAAATAAAACACTTGCAAGTTCAGTGCGAAAAAACTCACATGAGAGTCAACATAGAATTCGATAGACCATTTTATGGAATGATATTTTCCAAAGGTGATTATCTTATTTTATTTTTTTTCTTGTTCCGCCATTTTTTTTTTTTTTTTTAAATCGTAATGAAAAATTTAATTTTTTTTTTCCTTCGTTATTTCTATGCAGGATTTTACAGCGACCCACATTGCGTGCATTTAAAACCCGGTACGGGACATTTAAGTGCAACTTTCGAAATTTTCCTCAATTCGTGTGGCATGTCATCGTCCGCAAATCACATTGCCGGATATGGTGGGCCCACACCATCCGGAAGCTACGTCGAAAACACCATTATTGTTCAATACGATCCGTACGTGCAAGAAGTTTGGGATCAGGCAAGAAAATTAAGATGTACCTGGTATGACTTTTACGAAAAAGCAGTTACGTTCCGTCCTTTCCAAGTTGACATGTTACACGCCGTCACGGCTAATTTCCTGGGTGATAATTTGCAATGTTGGATGCAAATTCAAGTTGGAAAAGGACCTTGGGCTTCTGAAGTTTCCGGAATAGTTAAAATCGGTCAAACCATGACAATGGTATTAGCAATTAAAGATGACGAAAATAAATTCGACATGCTTGTGAGAAATTGCGTGGCACACGATGGAAAACGAGCTCCGATTCAATTAGTCGATCAATACGGATGCGTCGTGAGACCTAAAATAATGTCACGATTCCAAAAGATTAAAAACTTCGGACCGAGTGCCAGCGTAGTTAGTTTTGCCTACTTCCAAGCGTTTAAATTCCCAGACAGCATGAACGTACACTTCCAATGTGTCATACAAGTATGCAGATACAACTGTCCCGAACCGAAATGCGGCGGCGGCGGTTTATCGGGAGACTATGGAGTTCCTCTATTGGGAGGAAGTGCGACCGGAATATCCGGACACGATTTAGCCAATTCTCTACATGCCGAATACGGTCCTCCTCTTCACGCCGATTTTGCCGGACCCGCTTTCCCAGATCCAAGACATCCATCGGGTCCCTCCGGAGCATATTCGGAACCCAAGCCAGATATAATTCCAGCTCCTCAAGCTCAACAATTATCATCATCGACTGTCATTTCCTCTCCCACCTCTCCCACGCCCCAAGCTTTAAAATCAAACAACGAAGTTCATCTTCCTCCGCCTCCATTACCAGGTCAATTCGCTTCTTACACGACGGTCAAAAGAAAAGGAACGGCATCGGAAAATGAAGGTAATCTCGCGACGTTGGGTGGCAGACCGCGATCGGTTGATCCTATCGATCTCCAAGGCATACGTAAAAGAAGAAACGCAGAAGTTAACGAACCGATTAACATAGTCATGACTCGAGTTTACAAAAGAGAAGCTCAAGAAATGACCGACGTAAACACTTCGAGGATCATTCAAGTTGTCGCTCCGGGAGACGTCAATTTTGCTCTCAATTCTCCATCATCGAACGAAACAGTAGTAATTCAATCGACCAACGACCCAGAAAACATTTGCATGTCCGTACCCAGTTTCGTCGGAGGATTGGTCATGCTTCTTCTTGTTCTAGTTGTTAGTTGTCTCGTTGCCGCTTTTCTCTTTGTTCGCGTTCGATCATTCGACCAAAAAGGAATTGTCACGGCGTTCGTACATCCCGGTTACGACAATGCCGAATTCGTTAAATGCGCGAATTGAAATTTTTACACTCTCGCGCACACACACTCACCTTAAAAACACACCCACGCAATTTAACACACAATCGATCTAACACGTGATATCGCTCATTAAAAAAAAAAAAAAAATTTATAATAATAATAATAATAATAATAATTGCGAATGAAAGACTGAGAATGGCGATAGCTTATCCAAAGGAAAAAGTGATAATTTTATTTATTGATTAAAAAAAAAAGTAAAAAAAAAAGTTAAACGAGCGATGGATGATTTTAAAAAAAATTTGTGTCCCCTGCCAAATAACCAAAAGCTCAATTTTAGTTAATAAATATTAATAATAATAATAATAATAATGATAATGATAATGATAATAGCAGGGAGGACAAAAGTGTGAAAAATAGTCATTTTGTTTTTTTTTTTTTTATATATAAAAATTATTATTTATTTATTATATCTGTTTTACTAAAACTTTCTATCTATCTCTCTCTCTCTCTCTATTTATTTATTTTCTAATCATCATCTTTCTCTCTCTCTCTCTCTCTCTCTCTCTCTCTCTCTTTAAATATTTTTCACTTGTCTTTTTTAAATTAAAAAAAAAAAAAAAAATCGAGGCATCTTATATTATAAAAAACGAAGAGCATCCGCCGGAAATCACTCGTTTGGAGAAAAAAAAAAGAAAATGAAAACTACTACTATCGATCGAAAGCGAGAGAAAGTTCTGGAAAAACAAAAGAAACGACGAACCATATACAAACACATCGATCGGGGTGCTACTCTATAAAAAAAAAAAAAAGTGCAATTCACACATCGTACGGTCGCTAATAAAATCCGTTTAATTTACGATTTCGAACTTTAAAAAAAATGAAAATCATAATAATAATAATGACGGTGATGATGACGATGATGATGATAATGATAATGGTGAATAATTTTTCGTGACGTATAAAATTGGCGTGTCCAAGTTTCTAGTCAGAAACCGATAAAATTATTATTTAAAAAAAAAAATTTTTTGTTTTTGTTTTTGCTCCATTTCATATAACTTTCGTACGTGAAATTTTACTTTTATTTCATTACATTAGTTAAGGTGCCTTCTTTGTTTAAAAAAAAAAAAAAAAAGTAATAATGATGATAATAATAATAATAATAATGTCCAAAGATTTTTTTTTTTTTTTTTTTTTTTAAACTTGAAAAATAAAAAAAAAATAAAAATAAAAAATAGACGAGTAATTTAGTAATTAAATTAGAAAGTAGCCGCTTAGATTAACCTAAATTCCTGGAGATTTCTTTTCTCTTTCTCTCTCTCTCTCTCTCTCTATCTATCTATCTCTCTCTTTCTCTCTCTCTCTCATTCATTTCGTTTATAAAAAAAAAAAAAAAATTTACGACGTGGTTTAAAATACGAAAAAGAAAATACGCGCGTTGCGTTCTTAGACCCACGCATATAAATATTAATTTAATTGTTTAAATTTTTTAAGCATTGTCACTCTTTCTCTCTCCCCTTGTATCTCTCCCTCTCTCTCTCTCTCTCTCTCACACACCTACGTTCCAGCCTTTGATTTTGTTTTACTCCAGGAAAAATCGCTTTAAATTTTAAATATAAAATTTTTTTTTATGTCGTCACAGAAAATTTATTTATTTATTTATTTATTAACTTATCATTATTATTCGTTTCGTTTTTTTTTTTTTTTCAAATCAACAAAAATGGCTTCCCCCCTTTTCCTCTCGCGTGTGACGTTTTTTTTTTTTTTAATAATAATAATAACGATAATAATAATAATAATGCAACAATTTTTTTTTATTCGTCCGTGATTACAACTAAAACTATTTAAAAAAAAAAAATTATTATTATTTTATTTTACTTTTAAAAAAAAATTGCTGTTTCTCGGATTTGGTAAAAAAAAAAAAAAAAAAAAAATTTTCTTTTTTTGAATTCGATTTTCTTTTTCTCCCCAAATAATTACGGGATAATAATAATAATTTCGTTTTTTGAATTAGATTTTTAAAATTTTTTTTTGTGAAATAATCTCTAAACTTTTTGTTTTATATAAAATTTTGCTCAATCGTAAAACCTAATCCGAGGAACACCGATTTGTTAAAATAGTAATAATAATAATAATAATTCAATTTTTTTCCCGTCGGTACTCGTTGGTACCATTAACATCATCATCATCATTATTGTTATTGTTATTGTTATTATTATTTTTTTCCATTTTTATTTATTTTTTTTTGTTTGTTTTATTTATTTATTTTATTTTAATTTATTTATATTTTTGTATACTTGTATGCGTTACGTTGTACGTATGAGGTATGCGTGTTTTATTTTTTTTTTTTTTTTTTTTTTAGTTACGAGTGTAATTAATTTAATTATTAATAAATTTAAAAAAAATAAATATATATATGTATACATAAAAATGTAAGAATTTGTTTTTATTACACACCCCCTCCCCCCAAAACCCCCCAATCCCTCTTATTCAACCAATCATTTTTATAATGCGTGGGTTTTACCATACTTTCACGACGCTTTTTTTTATATTATAAATTAATAACGAACCATCGTAAACGTCAATCAATTGATCGATCAATCAATCGATCGATCGATCGATCAATCGAACGCGAAGTCAAGAAAATTACGTTTCGCTCCGAAATTAATCAATAAATAATTTTTAATAATTTAACGTAAATACGCGCATTTAATAATACGCGCAAATAATAATAATTTGTTAACAATAGAATATAAAACGTCTTCTGCTGTTTTTCTAAACACGCTCGAAAAACGTACTCCTGACGTACCATTACCGTTCGAAACAAACAAACAAACAAACAATTAAATTACACTGTTTATCTTTTCGACTACTCCCCCCCCCAAAAAAAAAAAAAAAATAATAATAATAATAATAATAATAATAATATTAATTACTTGTCAAACATTTAAATATTTAAAACAACAATACTGAGAACGTGTCCTCCTAATATAAAACACTCGCTGACATTCCATATAATTTATGGAATAAACTCAAAATAATACAAAAAGTGTTATAATTTTTTAAAACAATTGTTTAAACAAAAAAACAAATAAACAATGAAATTCGGTTTCGCAAAATAAATAATAACGCGGCGACGGCCATTTTTATTTTTTTTTCAAAAAAATAATTTTTCGGTTGTTTTGTTCATTTTTTGAAACGACAGTCACGATGACGTCATTTCGACGAGTAAAAAAAAAAAAATGTCGCAAAAGAAAAAAAACGCGGTCGTTTTTTTTTTAAAACTATCACTATTATTAATTAACCTGTTTTGAAAAAAAAAAAAAAAAAAAAAAAAAAAAAAAAGGTACGGAACGAGAGAGAGAGAGAGAGAGCGGGACACTCTTTCATTGGCTCGAAGCAATTTTTTTTTTTATGTACAGGTGCGAAAAAACATTTAAAATCCGTTTTTTTTCAACGCAAAATTTTGCTACTATTACTACTACTACTACTACTACTAATGCTACTACTATATAACGTATATAATTTAAGGGAAAAAAATATCCTTCGGCATACCCTCGGACACCCAGTAATAATAATAATAATAATTATTAACAATAACTGGACGTTATTCGTCGTACCACGTCGTCCTCGGGGGGTTTTCATTATTATCGTTATCATTATTATCATTACAAGTTGGTAATTTATCGATATTGTAATTTAAAATTAAATAAATGAATAAACAAAATGCATTTTTATTTTTATATATATAACTGCATCCGGTGTAAAAAAAAAAAAAAAAAAAAAAAATTAATAACGGTTATATATAAACGTGGCAGCAGTTTTATTTTTTAAAAAAAAGTTAAAATGGAAAAAAACGCGAAAAATTTACACAAATTTTTACTTATTTTTACTTATTTTTTATAATAGCAAGGAGGTTAATTAATAACAATAATAATAACGACGGAAAGTGAATTAAGCAGGTGTCGTTAAAATTAAGGTACGAAACGAAAGCAGGTGTGGATCGAAATTTTTTTTTATTTTTCGGATTAAGGTACGCGCGCGCGTTCGTGGGGGGAAAATGATGATAAAAGTATATGATATAAACTAAAAATAATAGAGAAAGAAAAAATTTTATTGTTTTGACCTGAGAGGAAGAGGAGGAGAAGGAGGAGAAAGAGGAGGAAGAGGAGGTGGAGGATACGACCATCTCTATCGGGACCGAAAATCGATGGGAAGTAGTAGAGGTGATGGTAGTGGTAGTGGTAGTGGTTAGTAGTACCGCGTGACCCCGTTTGAAATAACAGATATTCGAGTTGATGGTACTCGGGTACCACGGCGTAGGATCAACCTTGAGATCGACCACCATTTTCACCAGGTGGCTGGAAGAAAGTGATATCACGATCGCGTTGTGGATCCGTTTTCAAGGTCACTTGCACACTAATTACCTCTTCTTACGGGTTGATAAACCGGAACCGATCCTATATCGTCCCTAATAATTTTTTATTTTTTTATTTTTGTTTGCGTCGTCTTTATCCCCATCTCGCGATTATTTACTTCCGGATTTTCGATTTAGTTCTTTTTAAATTTAATGACGTCAAATCGGGGAGGAGGGGGGGGAGGAATTTTAATTTTAAGAATGCAAAAATATCGGAATAGAAAGTAAATGGAAAGCACCGTTAATTGAGTTAACTTTTTTTTCTTCTTTAATTCATAAACGAAAAAAAAAAAAATGGCTTCCCCTATCCTTTCGAAAAAATATAAATTCGTACAAAAAAAAAAGAAACCGACAGAATAATAATAATAATAATGATAATGATAATAATAAATTTTTTTTTTGCCTCGACAAATTTATTCTCACGTCTTACCGGCGACGTTTTTAATTAATAAAAGTCACTTAAACGATGATACGCATTTAAAAAAGGGGAGAGAGAGGGGGAGAGGGGAGGGAATTAATGATGATAATAATAATAATAATAAATCACTTTATGATTAAGAGACTTGCACTTTATGTTACGTCACATTATTAAGTCACTGTCAACTTTTTTTTTTTTTTTTTGTATTATAAATAATAATGATAAAAATGACCGCGGCCGGTCAACGACGAATTAAAAAAAATTTTTTTTTTTTCTTTTTTTTTTTTGTTGTTGTCATTCCTACGGTCCTGACCTTAGATAGTAGATACGTTATGACGTTTGGTATTTTAAACAGACTTATGAGAATATAGTAACGTCAAAACCGGATGAGAACATCAATCAAAAACACATTTAAAAAAAAAAAAAAAAACCATTTACTAATGGCTTATGAGTTCTAAACGCGGATTTTTATTTATTTATTAAACTTACTTATTAATAATAATAATAATAATAAATTATGTATTAATCTTATTTAATAAATCTTTATAATTTACGTCGTGTAATTAATTATTAATAATAATAATAATATTCGATAATACGATAATTTTCCTTCCGCGTATTTTTTTTCACTACGAAATTTTCTATTCATTTTTGTGGTTTCCTACATTTAAAAATTTCCCATTACGTAATACAACGAATGAATGATTGAATGATTGATTGAATGAATGAATGAACGAATTTTCCATAGTTCTTGTCGTCGTATTATCATTCCGTCACAAAATTCATCCTCGAGATAACACAAACTCTTTTGAAAAGAATTTAAAAATTTTCATTCAATCGAACCGGAAATAATTTAATTTTTTTTTTTACCATATCCGCTTTTGTTTCTTTTCAAAAAAAAAATCAAGTCACAAAAACTTTTTTATTTATTTAATTTAAACGATTCAATTATTATTATTATTTATTTAAAAAAAAAAAAAAAAAAAAAACATTTATTCGTGTCATTTCATTCATGTTGATCATTTTTATCTAAATAAACTTTTACCTCCTCCAGACATCCAACCACCATAAACTTTCCATAAACTTTCTATACCTTAACAAAACATAACAATAATAATAATAATGATGATGAGTATGAGTATGAGTATGAGTACGATATTAAATTTTTTCCCGAATGCGTGTGACGACATATTTTTAAAATCTCGACCTTAGTTTAAAAAAAAATTTATCAGAGTAATGACAAACAATTCCTAATTTTTACGCACTCACGCACGCAAGCACGCAATCAATAGTAAGTAATAGGTTTTTTCGACTCGTGGCAGAAGAAAAAAAAAAAAAAAAATAAGTTAAAAAATCAAATTGAATAAATGAAAAATGATTTTTGAAAGCCATTTACCACCTCCTTCGCCTCTATTAGGATACAGGACGGAAAATTTAGCAAGAGGAGGAGGAGGAGATGAAAGAGGAGGAGTAGGAGTAGGAGGGAAAAGAATGTAAGAAGCAATTAGCAAAATACCTAAATCAAAAGTGAGTTTGTGAAAAAAAAAAAAAAAAAAAAAACACGAAAGAAAATCACGTTTGAAACCATCTTTAAAAAAAAAAAACCGGAACTAAATAAATATTAATGACCTTCATCATCTACCTACGTTTATTACAACGTTAAGGATTCACAAAAAAAAAAAAAAAAAAGTTTCAAATTTCTTTCGTGTACGAAAATTTGAAATAAAAATGAACGAAAAAATATTTAAAAAACCGGGCCTTATTTATAAATAAATAAATAAAAAACAAAAAAAATATTAATAATAATAATAATAATAATTTTGTGGTCAAAATTTGTCTGATATGAAAATTTTATTTCATTCTCGAAATCGAGTAACATAAAAAAAAAAAAACATTTTATTATCTCCATCATTATTATCATCATCTCCATCATCATCATCATCATCATCATCATCATCATCATCATCTCCATCATCATCATCATCATCATCATCATCATCATCATCATCTCCATCATCATCATCATCGTATAATAATATATTTTATACTAAAATATTACTACTTTTAAAAAAAAAGTAACAATCGAGATTTTAATATCGTTTTCTTTTTTTTTTCTTGTTTTTCAAGATTTTTATATATTTTTTACAGAATGATAATGTGATAACGAACGAATGAATGAATGAATGAATGAAAATAACGGTAAGTAATTAATCTCATTGATTTTATTAAAAATCAATCAATCAATCAATCAATCGTTCTATAAAATATTTATTTATCAAATGAAAAATTTAATAAAGATTAAACATTAGTCGTGGTTTTAGACGAAAACAAAAGAAAAACGACAGGAGATTCAATTTTTTTTTTTTTTTTTCAGAGAAACGCGCAAACGCAGGCGGAATTTTCGCAGGATAAAAAACGCGGCGTAAATAATAACGCGTTGCGTGGAATTTTATTCAAACAAAAAAAAAATAATAATAATAATAATAAACGTTAATTAATTAATTACACGTCGCGTTACTGACCTAGAATTAAATTTTTTAATAGCGTATAAAATCATCATTTTAATTATAATACGAAGAAAAAGGGGAAAAAAAAATTAGAATTTAAATTTCCAAAGAAAACAAAAAAAAAATTTTTAAACGTGGGAATAGAATGATGATTAAAAAACGTGGTGGTAAAAAAAAAAAAAAAAAAAAAAAAAAAATACTACCCACGCGACGACGTAATTTCAAGCATGCGTATAATAATTTTATAATTTTTTTTTGTTTTTGTTTTGTTTTGGTGTTTTCCCAGCTGGAAAATTTATTATCTGGAAAAGTAATAATCTTGTTTTTTTTTTTTTTTTCGTTGTTAGTTTTTGGAATTCCAGAATTCCATCATCACACGATGGAATTATTTAAAATTTTTTTATTTTTCGTTACGACGATAATAATCAATAACGAAATTGTTTCTGCTGGATTTTTAGATAAGGTAAGTCAATAATAAACAAAACAAAACAAAAAACTTGGAAAACTTATTTAAATAAATGAGAAAAATTTATATTTTTAATTATTATTATTATTATTTGACGCCATTTTGTTTAAAATATTTTCGCGAATTTTTTATTATAATTAATTATTTTAATAAAATTAAGATCGATATAAATAAAATTTTATGTAATGTTTTTTTTTTTTTTTTTTTTTTTTTTAAATAAAAACTTTCTCTTACTTTTTATTTTTTTTTTTATCGTGGTGGTTGGTAGTTAGTATTCGATGGTACTACCCGCACGTTAAAACCGTCATAAATTTCAGCAACATTTTCGTACCTGATTTCGATTAATTTTTTTTTTTTTTTTACGTGAAAGTTTTTTTTTTTTATCGCGCGTTAATGCTGGAGTAAATATCATTTCCATAAATTTTTTTTTTTATGTTAATTATAATATTTATTTATTTATTACTTTTTTGTTGTTGTTGTTTTTTTGTTCGACATTATTATTATTATTATTATTATTTTTTTTTTTTTTTTTTATTATTATTATTATAGTTTAAAATGGATTTTCTTTTATTTATCGGTTTTTTTTTAAAGTTTTCAAAAGGTCGTCGTCGTCGTTACGTAGAAAATTTTTGTTTAAAAAAAAAAAAATTATATTGTAAAATTTTAAGAGTAAAAGTTAAATTGAACCGAAATGATATATAACCTTTGACCTCACTCACTCACTCACTCTCATTTTGAATTTCAATTTAAGAAAAAAATTTTTTTTTTTTTTTACACGTTTATTGTATTTTCTTTTCATTTTTCTTTTGTTCTCTCTCTCTCTCCCTATCTATCCTTCTGTATCCCTCTCCCTCTCTCTCTCTTTCTATCCATCCTTCTGCACCGCTCTATCTTTCTCACTCTCTCTTTTTCTATTTCTCCTTCTGTAACTCTATCTCTCTCTCTATCTCTTTGCATCTCTCCATTTCTATCTATCCTTCTGTACGCCCCCTTCTCTCTCTCTTTCTCCCTCTCTATCCTTCTGTACCTCTCTCTCTAACTATTAAAATTTAAAAGCTGGAAAACGAAACGAATTTTTCTTCTCTTCCAAAAATCGATCAGTTAAAACAATCAAAACCCTTCCTCTTTATTTTTTTTCTCTCCATTTAAACGAGGGGAGAGGGTGGAAGGGAGGGAGGGAAGGAGGGAGGTGCCCCAATAACAATTTTTTAAACGAAATCGAGATATACACACACAAAACAAAAAAACACGACGGTTTCGTTGTTTATCTTTTGTTGTTGTTGTTGTTGTTGTTGTTCGTTTCACGATTTCCAGAGGTTATCCAAAGAATCTGACAACTTTAAACTTTCTACGATCGTTTTTTTGGTTTTTCAATGTCCCTAAAAAATTTGTTTGATTTTTTTTGTTTGTTTGTTCCAGAGACATGTATTCGTACATTCGTTTAAATATCAACCTTGCGATTCGATGCGAAATACGGGGGCTTGGGTGAAAGATGCAGATGTTATGACGACATCATACGGAGATCTTGACGTCCTCGGTACCATCGTGACCGCCGTGAATTTAACGTCACCAATTAAGGTTTTTCCATATTATTATTATCATCATCATCATCATCATCATCATCATCATCATCATCATCATCATCATCGTGGCTCTTTTTGTTGTCCTTATTTTTTTTCGCAGGCATCGGTTAATCTAAGGAGAAACGTTTTAGGACTTTACGTACCACTGCCTTGTATAAAAAATTTTGGTTCTTGCGAATATCCGGATTTATGCGTTTACGGTTATACAAACAAAGAAAATTGTCCACCATTATTAGATGAACACGACATACCGTGTCGATGTCCAATCACGGCCGTAAGTTTTTTTTTTTTTTTTTTTTTTTTTTTTTTACTCTTACAAACAAAAGGAAATTATTATTATCATTATTACGTTTCTCTCTTTCTCGAAATTAAATTTTACATTTCCTAATTAGGTTTTTTTTTTTTTTTACCCCATGACAAAGTCCGCTCTCATTATATACTGATTTTACTCTGTTTGTCCTTGTCCCTTAAGGCATACATTTATTACTATTATTATTATTATTATAATTAATTTTTATTTCTTTTTTACCTCCGTGAAAATTAGTTTTTTTTTTTTTTTTTTTGGGAGGATTTTCACTTTGAAATTAAAATTTACAAAAAAAAAAAAAAATTTTTACTTAAATTTTTTTTGTTACAGGGTACTTATAATTTTCCTGGAGGACAATTTCAAGTTCCAAAAACTCGTTGGGCAACCATATTGGCTGGAAAATATAAAGGAACTGTTAAATTTTTTTCCAAAAATCAATTAATAGCGTGTTATAAATTTTTTTACAGTTTAGAATGAAACGTTTTACGAAATATTATTATTATTGTGCTTTGTTTGACGACGACGACGACCACCCCCACCACCACCACTACCAGTACCGATGATAATAATGATAACGACAAAAACATAACGAAAAAACTTAAAAAGGAAAAACTTTTATTTATTTATTTATTAATTTAACCTTGACCTTTTGTTAACATTTCAAGGTAAATCACTGAACCGTAATAAATTTTTTTAAAAAGATTAACGTATAATTATTATTTTTATTAAAAAAGTGACGACCACCATTTTTAAAAATTATTATTAACACCTGATAATTTATTTATTTATAAATAATAATCAGGTTATATGTAGTCGGAGAAAGTTAAAATAAAATTTATCTTCTTTTTTTTAACTGAAAAATGTAAACGTGGGGGTGTGTGCGTGTGTGCGCGGCCGCGTGAGTTCCATTATATTTTTGATATTTATAATAATTACGTTGTGTATTTAATATTAAAAAAAAAAAAATGAAAATCATAGACAGACATCATTATTAATATTTTTTTTTTTTTAAAAATAAATTACGTAATGTAAACAAAAAATTATTTTTTTAGTTATTTAAAAAACCGACAGAGCGCAATAGTGCATAACGAAAAACTATGAGAATGAAACAGTCTTTGTTTATGAAAATTGTTTACGTAAAATAAACACGATAGATGGCGCGCTTTCAATCAAATCCTATTAAAACCTTCGTTTGAAAAAAAAAAAAAAAATTTAACTGACCGCGCGCGCGCGGTTTCGCGCAATGATTTTTCTTTCATGTTTCATTCCACGCAAGACTCATTTATTTTCATTAAAAATAAATTATTTATTTATTTATTTATTTATTTATTGACAGAGAGTTAATAACCCCGAACCTCCTTAGTTTTTATTTTATTTTATTTTATTTTTTTTTTCACCTTCAAAAAATATTATTATTATTATTATTATTATTAAATTAATTTAAAATTATTCAAGTGATGCCGAATAATAATAATAAATATTTATCATTTATTAATTATCAAACGAATGATTATTATTAATCTATGAAAAGAAAACGCGTATGAATGAATAATAATAATAATAATAATAATAATAATAATAATAATAATAGCGACAATGACGTTTTCCAAATAAAAAAAAAAACTTTCCAGAAGGGGCAATCAATTAAATATATTAATACAAACGTCCAGACTAACGACACGTGGGATGGAAATTTTTTTCTTTTTTTTTTTTTTTTTTTTATGTGAATGTTGGCAATCCGGATCGTTTCGGATTTTTTTCAATCAATGAATCAATCTCTTCTCATTCACGTATGACAAACAATCTCTGAGAAAATCAACGGGATACTATGAAAATAATTAAATAAATAATTAGGTAAAACGGGTCAAAAGAAAATTCTGTGGAAAACAAAAAAAAAAAAAAAAAATCGTAACCGATTTTAGTATTATTATTATTATTATTATTATTATTATCATTTTACGAAACCGCACGACGACATACACGACGAGTTATTATAAATCGGTAAAAGTTTTTTTTTTTTTTTTTTTTTTTTTTTTTCGTACGTGAGGGGAAATGAGGAGAAAGGGCGCGAAATAAAAGAAGGGCACTCGTAACATTTCACCACATTTCAATAAACTTATCTAATAATTGCATATGGCGTAATATATTCGAAAAAAAAAAAAAAGTATCCGATGTAAAATTGCCGGTGGGTTATAGTAAAAAGAAAAGGTATGTAACAGGTACGCACTCGTACTACCACTACTACTACCACTACTTGGTAATAACCAGAGAAGTGCGTAAATGTATAAAAACAAAATGAAGGAAAAATAAATAAAAAAAGGTCTAATTTATCTACATACAGGTTTTCAGGTTTTAACAAAAGCTTTTCCCCTCCTCTCCCCTCCTCCCCCTTTCCTTCTTCGAACGATAACGACCTACATTTTTTATTATTTTGTATAAATAAATAAATTTTATTGTCTCTTTATTTATTCGAACTTGAAAATTTTTCATTGAAAAAAAAAAAAAAAAAAAAAAAAAAACAAGCCAGGATAGGAAAATCCAGAGGCGGCGACCACGATCAATGTTTTATCAAATTATGATAATAATAATAATAATAATAATAATAATAATAATAATAATAATAATAATAATAATAATAATAATAATAATAATAAAAATAACCTAAATAATTTCATCATCGAATTTATAAAATTATTTTAAAAAAATAAAAATAAATCAATAAATCAATACTCATTTAATACTTTTCAATAAGTGAAATTATGGCAATAAAAAGTCAATTTTCCCCCCCCCACCCCCTCTCATTCATGCTTTTCTTTATTTATTTTATTTTCCTTAATTTTTTCAACGGATCTCATTCACTCACGCACGTATACCTGCGCGTACCTATCTCTTTGCTGTAATTCAATCGATAATCAATCAATAATTCAATACATCATGTACATTAATAACAACGTATATAACTCTAAACGCTTTTCTTCCATTCTTTTTTCTCTACATTTTTTTTTTTTTTTTTTTTTTTT